ATATCCTCAAATGTGAAGAGGTTTGAATCAATGTCCCGAAGTGCGCTATCACTAAATAATCCATATCCTCAAATGTGAAGAGTTTTGAATCAATGTCACAAAGTGCGCTATCACTAAATAATCCATATCTTCAAATGTGAAGAGGTTTGAATCAATGTCCCGAAGTGCGCTATCACTAAATAATCCATATCCTCAAATGTGAAGAGTTTTGAATCAATGTCACAAAGTGCGCTATCACTAAATAATCCATATCTTCAAATGTGAAGAGGTTTGAATCAATGTCCCGAAGTGCGCTATCACTAAATAATCCATATCCTCAAATGTGAAGAGGTTTGAATTAATGTCTTGAGCTCCCACGAATTCTTAAGACAGAATTGGTAATCTGCATATTGATTTTGAAAATATATTTAACAGAAAAATTAATTTTATTGAGTATACGTACTAGAATGCTCGATCTGTTTTGTTGTATTTTTTCGGTCTTCCATAACGCGCACTTTTCTCCTTCTTATTCCAGATGTATCATTTCTATATTTTTGCCACTGGTTATGACAGGAAGTATATTAGATGTTTACCGAAACGTCTTCAGAAAGAAGAATCAGGCCGCTTCAGAGGAGCAACGAGGTACTTTTGATTATTCCTTTTAGTACAGTTGTTGATCCTTAAAATACTTGCAACTCCTGATACTCGTTTTCGAGTACTGACATACTCTATAATTATTATATACCTTTAACGATGTAGCGAATCACAAAACAAAAGGCCCCGGCATGGCCAGGTGGTTAAGGCACTCGACTAGCAATCTGAGGGTCGCGGGTTCGAATCCCTGTCACACCAAACATGCTCGCCCTTTCAGCCGTGGGGGCGTTATATAGTGACGGTCAATCCCACTATTCGTTGGTAAAAGAGTAGCCCAAGAGTTGGCAGCGGGTGGTGATGACTAGCTGCCTTCCCTCTAGTCTTACACTGCTAAATTAGGGACGGCTAGCGCAGATAGCCCTCGTGTAGTTTTGCGCGAAATTCAAAAACAAACAAACAAACACAAAACAAAAACCAGCTTAATCCATCAAAACGGTAATTCCCCAGCGTAACAGCTGTAAGTTTATGAATCTATTGACAAAATATTGTTTGTGTAATTTACAATACCGATTTTAATGCGAACCTTTTGCGTTTCAACATTATTCATTCACAATCCGACGCTTACTTGTACAAACAGACATCGTATACCTCGACATTATTACAATGGAAATTTTATAAAATTTACCAAGTTATCCGTGTGTTTATCAAAACATAAAATTCGTTTTGAAGCATAACACTACGTCTAAAATTAGGAATAGCGTGTAATCATAGTAGTGGCTCTAGTAATTGATTGGGCGTGTGTTAGGCTGCAGGTCGAGGGTTCGAACCGATATGCTACTGAACAAGTTCCGAACTTTTAAGTGTAACAGTCGGTCCCTTAATTATTCGGTTAAGAATAGCCGTGTAGTAGGCGTATGCTGATAACTAGTTGAACTCCCTCTGGTGAACAGTTCTAGATTAGGGATAGCTCTGCTTGAACTTTGCAGATCTCTGACTTCGCTGTTTAGTCCAGGTATGAGTAACATAAGGTACCGTTCAAATTTATAATACCAAATACCCCTACTAAACTCTAACTTTTTTTAGGTTTTGTAATTTTATTTTTACATATTGTTTGTTTATTTCGAGGGTTTTGGTTTTGTTTTTTTTATCTATCAGACATGGAAATTTTGGTTTTACATATTGTATGTTTATTTCGTGGGTTTTGGTTTTGTTTTTTTATCTATCAGGCATGGTAATTTTATTTTTACATATTGTATGTTTATTTCGTGAGTTTTGGTTTTGTTTTTTATCTGTCAGGCATGGTAATTTTGTTTTTACATATTGTATGTTTATTTCATGGGTTTTGGTTTTGTTTTTTTATCTATCAGGCATGGTAATTTTATTGTTTATATATTGTATGTTTATTTCATGGGTTTTGTTTTTGTTTTTTATCTATCAGGCATGGTAATTTTATTGTTTACATATTGTATGTTTATTTCATGGGTTTTGGTTTTGTTTTTTATCTATCAGGCATGGTAGAAGAATTCCTCGACTGTTTTTCGCTACGCTCCAATTTTTTGAAATTATTCTCCACCAAATCATCGGAACAGACAATTAAAGCTATTCATGGAATACGTTTTATCACTATTATTTGGATCATCATGGCGCATACAGTTAACGAGTACCATTACGGAATGATGAGTAAGTATGAAATATAACTTTTTTAACTTACTGTTTCTAACCAGCATTTTCTAGTTTTGTGTTTTGAGATAGCTTTAACTATACAATTTCCTCTCCCCCCGTGGAATAGCGGTAAGCTTACAGACTTATAGAACTAAAATGTGGGGCGCCATTCCCTGCAGTGGACACAGCAGTTAGCTCAATGTGGCTTTGCTCTAAAACAGTCAAACTGGACAATTCAAACTTTGGTTAACACTAACATTCTGTATCTTAAGGATCACTACTTTGTAATAGTTTTTAACGATCTGGAAAGTAGAAAGTGCGTGCGTTGTGATAGCTCTTCACGTGAAACTTTTTTTTTTTTTTGCTAGAAACAAAATACTGTTTATCATTCAATAACCGATGCTTCTTGATAACAAACAACCTGAACAGTGTTGTAGATTTTGTGTGCAACTTCCTGTATAAGGGTCTGTTTTCATTATGTCCATTAAAACAATTCAACGGTAATTTTCCTTAAAATAGTGATGAATAAACATAAAATGTGCAGTCAATCCAATCCCTTGGATCAAAGTGTATACGCAATATGATTGTCTAGTGGGGCATTTAAAATCTTTATTGCATGTGTTATTTCAATAAAAAAAATTGCATTGCCTTTGTTTTTAAGCAAAGAAGACTGACTATAATGCATTTGGCAACAATATTTGGGTTTCGGTGCAATGAGTGCATTCAGACCAATAGCTCGTTCAGGTTCGCTAAGCAACTACGGGGATTTTTTTGAGCTGGATGCCACCGTTCCTTGTAATTTTACCGAGTGCAAGAAAAGACCACTATCAAAGTGAGAGCTTTTTGACAGTTGTCATTTATATAAGTATTAAAGGGGAGATATTCAATTCAAATCAAGTCAATTTATCCAGCATGGTACAATGAAATCATGTATGTATATAATGCCGACATGAAAAGAACATATGTATATATATAGCTCCAATACTATTAGTTACCTTAATTCTTAATAGGCAATTAAATTAGCACTGTAAAACAATAATGAACTTAACATAAAATAACCATTGCCATTGTCGGTCCTACTTGTCAACTTGATGTCATAATGGATAATGTCTGTGGTAATAGCATCCAAATGCGTTGGGGATATCCCATCTATCAGACAATATCCAAACTAGCCAGAGATTAGACTTCCTTGTGTATAATCTTGTTTATTCTGAACAGTTGACTTACATAAAGGACTTGTAATAATGCAAACAAGGAAGGTAATGATAAATACTAAGTAAGAATGTTTTTTTTAAAAAAAAGGCTAACTTACTCGAAATAGAATAAAGATAAAAAATACCGTTACCGAATTTGATAAGCCTGTAAACAACATGCAATACTAATTTTTCGTTATGTTGGTTGAAAGGTTTATGAGTTTAATGCTGACATCCTTACACATACACATTAGTTTTTGTGTAACTGTCGACCACCCGAACCTTAAGACATTTTGATATATCATGTCTAACATTCTCAAACATGCACGTTGCCATATCGTTAATAGGTGGCGTGTTTAACATGAAAAACCAGGTTGGGTACTTTGATAATCAGTTCCTAGTTCAAGCAAGCATCAGTGTTGACACGTTCTTTTGTATTTCGTAAGTATCTTCTTTATTTCTTTTGAGCTATCGTACGTATATTTATTTTTAAATAAATATTTTATGGGTGAGTATGTGCTAATTAAATAAAATACTTTTTTTAACAGCATCTACTTTTACGTCTACTCTAGATGAGTGTTTGTTTGTTGTTTAGCGCAATGGGCTGTCTTTGTTACGTCCAACGCGTGTATCGAAACCCACTTTTGTTAACGTTAAAAACCCTCAGACTGACCACTGAACCACCGAGAGCGTAGAGAATTAAAATATATAAATGTTTTAAATTAGGTTTGTTGATTACTGGAAAATATTTAAATTTCCAATGCATATCGTAAAAGGGTTAAATTCAGTTATATTTACCCGGTTAATAAGCTAGATGCTTAGTTTCCTTAACATGAATATTGCGCTAGAAGACATTAAAAAAAAGAAATCCCTACATTTCAAACTTCTTCTACCAAAACGTTTGTGTCCCAGTGGGTCATCGGTAATTTTACGGACTTAAAATGCTAGATTTCGTGATTCTATTCCCCGCTGTAAACTGAACGCGGATAGATCTTTGTATAGTATTTTTTCTCAACCAGCTAAAAATGTTAACGGGTGTTCCTTTATAGTACTTGATGTGCTAATGAAAAAGCATTATTCGTGCGCATTATTGGAATTATGGCCGAAAATATCACTAACAGCGCAACTACCCAAATTATGAATCAATTAATTCGAATCAATGCAAGATTTGGTTTTGTGATTGAAAACAAAATTTGTGTTTATAGATGTTACGGACACTTTTTATTGTTATTAAATATGTTTAGGTGTTGCGTGATTATGTATAGGGTATTTAGAATGCGCAATTAAACATATTGACAAAAACAAGTGGAAAATTGAAAAATATATTTTAGTTTTAAATGCTGAAGCGACACCTATTGTCCTAAGATCATTTTATATTTAAACTTGCCAGGATGTTTAGTTCATTCTGCATTATTCACGTGATTAAATGTTTAGTATGTCTAAAAACTGAGAGATTACTCCCTACGAAAAGAATAAAACTTGGTGTATCAAACACGTATGGGCGTGAAAGTGTAAGTCGATGTAAATGAAATAGTTTAGGCTTACCCAACCGGATAAAGGTCGCAGTTAACTAACAGCTGTTATTGTTTAAGGTGCTTAATTAATCACTTCAATACATTTTAGCACTTAATTATACCTTTGATAACTATTAATCGTAAACCTTGAAGACACAGAAAATGGAAAGATATAATAATTTTTTTTAATTTAGATGCTTCGCGAACATAATTGTTTTTAAGTTATGTTTGTAACTAATATTCTACACACACGCACGCACAGATATATGTATACATATTATTCTATTTATTTAATGTATAAATATATATATATGTTATATCTATCATTTTGCATTGTTAACTTAAGTTAGTCTTAAATCCATATATTAGCCTTCTTAAGTTGTCTGAACCTCGTGAGATATTATTGGGATTATGGCCAAAACTATCACTAACAGCGTAGATATCCAAATGATGAACCGAATCATTGCAATATTTTGAGGCCCGGCATGGCCAGGTGGTTAGGGCGCTCGACTCGCAATATGAGGGTCGCGGGTTCGAATCCCCGTCCTACCAAACATGCTCGCCCTTTCAGCCGTGGGGGTGTTATATAGTGACGGTCAATCCCACTATTCGTTGGTAAAAGAGTAGCCCAAGAGTTGACGGTGGGTGGTGATGACTAGCTGCCTTCCCCTCTAGTCTTTCACTGCTAAATTAGGGACGGCTAGCGCAGATAGCCCTCGTGTAGCTTTGCGCGAAATTCAAAAAACAAACAAGCAATATTTTGTTTTGTGGCGCTGTATACTCCTTATAGTTAGACTGGTGTATTTAATTTGTTATATTATTTACTCCGTAATTCTTTATTTTGAAAATTCAAAAACCTTAAGTAACAAATAAAATATTCCAAGGAATTATAACGTCTTATAAATCAGAACAATAACTGTTTTTATTCCTTAACCTTTCGTTCACAACTTCTGCAGGTTTCACGCCTGAAGTGGTTGTAAGGCGATAGGAAATGTCCCCTAAAGCTACGAGATCGTTCGAATTTTTATCATATTTGTTGCCCACGCCAAACACATTAGTTAAGAGAGACAGATTCTCTATAATCAAATCAGTTTAGTGTCAGGTAGTGACTGCTAGGCTTACGTAATGTGCTGCCTTAGCCTGTTGACCCCTAGATGATAAAAAAACGTGTAACACGTGTGTCCTAGATAAACTGTGGGAGAAAGTCGCGCTTACAGAAACTTGAATTCTTGAGTAGCGCGTTAGGAATGTGGGAGGGGGGCCTCTAGTGAAATAACTTTGCTTTATGGTAATTACAAAAAACAACCTACCAGATCGTTTATTACAAAGCAACGTTTCTACTATTTACCTAGGTGATCACCAAGCGTTAGAAAAAACCTAAAGTTAAACACCAGTTTAAATACCGTTCTAATCGCGTGAAGTAAGAACAACGGTATTGACTATCTAGAAACAGTATCAGTGGAAGAAATAAAATTAACAACTTTCCTTTTAAGAAAGATGTTTATTAGAAGATCATTTGATCAAAAACAAATTAATTGTGTGAGAGGACTGTGTTATATTTAAAGCTTTATATACATGTATATATATTTACTTCAAGTGTATTGTGAATAGACTTGATTAACAGTTCAAGGTCAACATTACGGTAAATCCATAGTGAGTTATCGGTTGTCTAGTTTCAGATCTGAGATTTCGGATCGTCGAATTGAGGATATTACCTGACCTTGGTGATACTCCCACGTGCTTTTGAATGCGGACAGGAAAATGTCGTGTAGTTTTTCAGTATAGGTAGTCTTACAGTTACCACACCTGTATTTATGGACAGTCCAAGAGCGAAAGGAGATGGGTAGACAGTTCTTTGTTGTGAGTCTCACGGAGAGACAGCAGTAATTATACGGGTTTACAACGATAAAATCCGGGGTTCGATTCCCCGCGGTGGACACAGCAGATACCCAGTGTGGCTTTGGTCTAAAAAAAGAACAAACCAACCAACAAACTTTGTTTTCAACAAATGTTTTAATCTAAAACACGCGTGAGTAGAACGTTCTTGTTTAAAGTTGTTTGAAAAGTATGATACTCTGTTGTCTTAGATACGGGATGGCCAATGAAACTGGACATTTATTAGCTGCAAAAATGTTTATGGGAATTTTAAAGATCCTGGCTGAGCTCCTGGCTAAGCTTTTTTCTTGAGGTAGCCATTGTAATTCGTGGACAAAGATAATGTCAGAGTGTAAAATAAAACAACTTAGTAGACATGCTGTTAAGTTGGTCTTATATTCTGTAAAAATAAAGCTGTCAAACTGGGTGAGCTGTCCTGTGAACCTTTTCTTTCGATAGATTTACGTTAAGAAACTTTGAGCATCTCGAGCAAGTAGTACGCGTAGAAAATGTAAAGTATCCAGTTCTTCCATATCACAGGTAGTTTAGTACTCGAGGAAGTAAAGTATCCAGTTCTTCCGTATCACAGGTTGTTTAGTACTCAAGGAAGTAAAGTATCCTGTTCTTCCATATCACAGGTAATTTAGTACTCAAGGAAGTAAAGTATCCTGTTCTTCCATATCACAGGTAGTTTAATACTCAAGGAAGTTAAATATCCAGTTCTTCCATATCACAGGTAATTTAGTACTCAAGGAAGTAAAGTATCCTGTTCTTCCATATCACAGGTAATTTAGTACTCAAGGAAGTAAAGTATCCTGTTCTTCCATATCACAGGTAATTTAGTACTCAAGGAAGTAAAGTATCCTGTTCTTCCATATCACAGGTAATTTAGTACTCAAGGAAGTAAAGTATCCTGTTCTTCCATATCACAG